GATGAAAATTCTTCCTGGGGTTGGAATTCTAGTAATGCAATTACAAGCCACTGATGAGCTATGATTTTGACGAAGCAAGTCATGATGTCGAAGTCGAAGACATTGTTGATACTCTAGTCGAAGAAGAAGTTGAAGCAGTTGTTAACATTCTCAACACAGTCAAAGTCGAAGAAGATATGGTTGACACAGGTTAGAGACCTCAAAGAACTAAAGCTCGTTCAGTAAGACTTCAAGACTATGAAGTGGTTGGTGACGATGAAGTCATAATAGATGGTAAACTAGTCCATTTTGCTTTACTCGCAGGTGTTGAACCAATCAAGTATAGCGAAGCCTTCAAAGATAAACAATAGAAGTCTGATATGGTCGAAGAGTTACAAGAAATTGAAAGAAACAACATATGGGAGTTTGTCGAATTGCCAGCTTATACAAAAGCTATCAAAGTAAAGTGGGTGTTCAAGTTGAAGCACAATGATGATGGGTCGATAGCAAAGCATAAGGCGAGATTGGTAGCTCGAGGATTTCTCCAGAGAGCAGGACTCGACTACTCTGAAATATTTGTGCATGTCGCAAGATTAGAAACTGCTTGACTAGTGGTGGCCTTGGCATACAAGCAAGGCTAGTCAACATTTCACTTAGATGTGAAATCAGCATTTTTGAATGGACCTTTAGAAGAAGAGGTGTATGTCACACTACCTCCTGGATTTGTGATTCAGGAGGAAGAAAACAAAGTATACAAGTTGCACAAAGCACTCTATGATTTCAAGTAGACACCTAAGGCATGGAACTAGAAGATTGACTCAAACAATTGGGATTCATAAAATGCAAATCTGAGTATGGTGTCTATGTTAAAGTTGTAGCACAAGATATAACAATAATATGCTTAGATGTCGATGACTTGCTAGTAACTGGAAATAGCCTGAAGAAATTGTCGAAGTTCAAAGTGATGATGAAGAAGGAATTTGAAATGTCAGATATGGGAAAGTTGTCATACTTCCTAGGCATGGAACTTCAAATGTCGAAGAAAGGCATGGTGGCACATCAAAGAAAGTATGTCAAAGAGATACACAAGAGATTCAGAATGGACGATGTAGAAGCAAGATTCAAGCTCATTAAAGTTTTGATGAAAACAACAAGAACAAGCGTTCTACGCAACACATACATACGCAAAAAGCAAGAGTTTCAAGTAAACATCAAGGATCAAGATAATGCTCTAACATGTGACAATTGTGATCAAGCTTCTCATACAAGCTTCAAGTGTTGAAGATAGAGTTTTGAACATCAATTCAAAGGTATAACAAATATTACTTGAAAATACCTATACAAGTGTTCAAAAATTCATATCTCACTACACATATATAACAAATACTTTTAAAACATTTTTTGGTTACTCACTCATGTTAAAAATAATTATGTTTTGAAAATCTTTCAGTGTTAACCGATTAACCCTTTTGGTTAACCGGTTAACGAATCTCAAAATTAATTTTTTGGTGATTTTATTACAGTGTTAACCGATTAACCTATATGGTTAACCGATTAAAATGTGTAAATTTTGAATATTTTTTAAACGTTGAAGGGTGTTAACCGATTAACCTATTTGGTTAACTGATTAACACTGATGCAGTAAGCAAAAATGGCAGCTTTTTATGAAAATATGCATTGATTTCATTTTGATTTCTGACTTTTTTTGCTATATAAATCACACCCTTTTGGAAAGGTTTTTTATCAGTATAAATTGATATTAGATTTCAAATTCCAAAAAAAAAAAAACTTCAAGAAACAAAATCATAAAAATTACTCATTTTCTTTATCTCTCAAATTTTCATAAAGTGTTCAAAATCAGTTTTTGAAAAGAAGCTTTTTGAATAAACTTTCACAATTTCACAACTTCATTTCATTTCTCTTAAAAGAACACTTGTATATCTCTTTGAGTAATATTTGTTTCAAGGAGAAGATCGATCGTCAAGATTGATAGCATCACTATATTCTCAAGATATCAACTTATTTCAAGATTACTTTCTTTGTATTACCTTGTTATCCAGGACTGTTGGAAACAAGTGAGTGTGTGAAGAGGATTGTTCTTCTACACTTGGATTACCTATAGATTAGATAGTAGGCTTCACCATTGGTGTGATTAGGCTGTGCAATTATTCGAAACTATAGTGAAATCTCTTTCGAGTCGAAAGGGGAGTGGAGTACTCTCGGAGTGTGAGGGGAACCACTATAAATTTCTTGTGTCTCTTTTTCTTTTCCGCACTTTATTTTCAAGTCCTAACATCATAACCGAAAAAGAACTAAGAACTGAAACAGATTACAAATAATTTTTGAGAACCTAATTCACCCCCCCCCCCCCCTCTTAGGCACATTTACAAGTTACAGATGATTCGACTCCTGAATCTTCGCCTATCGAACCAAATTTAAAGTTGGAGAAGCGTGGATAGAAAGACAAAGTTGATGCAACTTTTTTCAAACAAATTATTGGATCTCTAAGATACGTGTGCAACAGTCGACCTGATATATGTTTCTCAGTCGGATTAGTGAGCAGATACATGAGTGACCCAAGGGTGTCACACATGAAGGCTGCAAGAAGAATCCTGATATACTTAAAAGGATCGACAAATTATGAAATTTTATTTCGACGAGAATTTGAAAGCAAAGAAGCTATGGTTACTTGTTATTCAGATGCTGACTGGTGCAGAGATAAGGAAGATCGAATAAGCACTGCTAGATATTTCTTTCAAGTATTTGGTGCCCTAATTTCATGGTGCTCGAAAAAGAAACCTGTGGTGGCATTATCATCATGTGAAGCTGAATATATGGCAGGATTATATATTGCATGTCAAGCAATTTGGATCAGATCGATACTTAAAGAAATAGAGGTCGAAGTGAAGAAACCTCTTGCGTTGCAAATCGACAACAAGTCTGCCATAAATCTGGCGAAGAATTAAGTTCTGCATGGAAGAAGTAAGCATATCGAAGCTAGATTTCACTTCTTAAGGTAAAAGGTAAATCGAGGTGAACTTGAAGTTAGGCACTGCTCAAGTGAAGCACAGTTGGCCGACATTTCACAAAAGGATTGATGATCGACATATTCTTGAATTTGAGAAAGAAATTAGGAATAGTTCAGATGGACTATGATTAGCATATATTTGACAACTTGGATTATGGGGGTATGTTGAAATATTAGATTATATTTCATTTGATATGATTAGATTTGATTAGATTTAATATTTAGATATAATCCAAGTTGTGTTATCCCAAACCCAATTAGGGTTTGTTATTTAGTTTGTTATTTTTAGTATATATAAATAATCATAGTATGTATCATTATTCATAACAATTCAATAACTCTTTATTTTCTTATTTCCTTATTCTCTCTCTTTCTCTCCTTACAAAAGGGGTCTCACGCACTAACATAAATGATTACTTCCAATGATTGATATTCTTGAATGACATTGTGACCGTCTTGAAAACTGAAGAAAATTATAAATCATCATTATAGTTAGGAAGAGTGTTTCTCTCTTTAGGGAAGCGCAAAGGTTGTATAGATAATATTACAATAGTTGCATATTAAATCTGTGATTAAATAATCTTCAGTTTTTCATTTATTTATCAATTTAAGTGACACACGCTTTTTGTAATAGGAAAAATGGAAAAAATGTAGATGTCAGGGTTTAAACCATGTACCACTCACTCTATCACCACATTTGTGGCTATCAATCGTGATAAAGTGACCTTAAAAAAAAAGCATTAGGCGCATCCAGTTTCATCTATTACAATGTTGGAAGGAATGCCCGTGGTAATATTATGTTACCGAATGTGTATTTTATAGTAGTGATTGCGTAACTTTCATTGACGAGATCAAGAACGTCTTGAGCGCCAAACAACACATGCATTTAAATAATCCACCGATTCCAATTCTTTCCATCAAAGACTGGAAGCTTTGTGATTAAGCTACTGTTTCCACCGTTCATCTTTGATTTTGCGCAAGAATTCACTCAAATCTCACAAAACACTCGTGTTTCCCAATCCCTCAAAATTAAGAAATGTGATTTTGTTCCGATTTCGATCGTAAACTCAACGCGATTTCAAGAAACTAAATCAATCACGCATGCCTCAAGTTCACTCGTGTTTCTCTTGGTGTTTCCCGTGGATCTGAACTGGAGCTCTAGATACCAATTGTTGGTGCACAAGAAGGAAGAAGACGAAGATGATAAAAATGGAAGAGAGAGAAGATAGAAAAGTTGTAACTAACTTTTCAATTGAAAAGATTGATTAGTCTTAATTTTGTTACAATTTAACTTAAATAAAGTTTATATACCAACAAAATCTCCTAAATGAAACTCAAATGCAAAACCAAATTAAATAAATATGAACTACAATCTAACAGTTAACTATATCTTTTAAATCCTTACAAAATTAGGATCTTTTAAGTATCTTGGAGTAATTTATGGGCGATGAAAGAAATTATCGTGGGGTTTGAAATGATTCATAAGTTAAAGATAAACATCAACAAAAGCTCTTTATTTAGTATTGCAGTGGATCATTGGTTCCTGCAGGCTGCAGAACATTTTCTTGGTTGCAAAATTGGTGGTTTCCCATTTAAATTCTTAGGATTATTGGTTAGTGGTAATCAACGTCATATTGCTTTCTGGAAGCCGTTGATTGAATGTGTAAAGGCGCGACTGTCACCGTGGAAGGGTTGATTACTATCAATCGGAGGCAGGGTGTCTCTCATCAATTCAATTTTAACAAATCTTCCAATACATTACTTGTCTTTTTACAGAATTCCGAAGAAAGTCGGAAAAACTTTGGTGGCGTTGCAGAGACACTTCTTATGGGCATGTTCAAAAACTAATAGAGGTATTACTTGGGTAAACTGGAAAGTTTTTTATAGGTCCAAAAAAGATGGTGGGCTGGGAATAAAAGACATCATCTTGCTTAATAAAGTGTTGTTAGCTAAATGGATTTGGAGGTTTTTATACGAGAAAGATGTGTTGTGGATGGGTTTGTTGCATGCCAAATATGGAGATCTGAAGGAATGTATTGCAAACAAGGAATATGTGTGCTCTAAGTCTACATCATCTGTTTGGTGGAAAGATCTATTCTTGACACAAGGCCAGGCAGCGATTGTGGAAGTATCAAATTTGTTCTCTTACAGGCTGGGCAGTGGAGCAAAAGTTCTGTTTTGGTTGGACAAACGGATTTGAAGCAGGCCCTTAAACCAGATTTTTCCTGGTCTGTGGAGCAAAACGATTACAAAACTAGCATCAATAGCAGAATTGGGAACATGGCATAATAACAATTAGTCATGGCAGTTGGCATTAGATATTAGTCCTGATGACGTTCAGCTACAGCAGGAAAGTCATGATTTGTCTGAAATTCTTTTGGAGGCAAAATCGATTTTAAATCAAGAAGACAACATCATTTGGCCTTATGATGCTTTGGGAACATTTACAGCTAAGTCATATTACAGTTTGATATTAAGCACAACCATAGAGATCAAAATCGACGACAATGTCAAAACCTTCCTAAAAATCATGTGAAGCACGGGGGTATCCGTCAAGTTGAAAGTATTTGGGTGGAAGTTAGTCTTAGATCGCCTGCCTACACGCTTCAGCCTTCTCAGTCGCGGGGTCGTGCTTAACTCTCATGAACAGGTGTGTATTTACTGTTTCAGTGCAGGTACAAGCTCTAATCATCTCTTTTTTGAATTCGCTAAAACAAAATTAATTTGGAATGTCGTGTGCCGGTGGGTGGGTATATCTCCTTTGGCGGGCAATTCATGTTGTTCGCATTTTATGGCTTGGAGAGAGAAACTTAGAGGGAATAAGAGATTATTTTTCACGAAAGTCTTTGGGTTATAGTTTGTTGAAGCATTTGGTAGACGAGAAATCAAATCCAATTCAATGACGAAGTAGGAGATGTCGAGGTTATTTTTATGAGGATCGTCTCAATATCGTGGTGGTGAATAACGAAAAGTGTTCATTTTAATAAAACATGTACGTATTATGATTGGTTTGTGAACCTATTAAACTCTTTCTAAGTTTGAAGATGTCTCTTGTAATATTTATGGAGGTCGAGTTGTAAATGAGTTGGGGCACTCCTAGTGCCACTGTTAAAATAAAATATTTCGCTTATAAAAAAAAAAAATTGTCCCTATTAAATTTGTGTTTGAAATTTTAGTCATGTGTAATATTGTAGTTTGCAAAAATACTCTCTATTTAAAATATTTTTCTACTTATAATTAAAAAAGACAGTTGGTTTTAACCGTACTATTATTTTTATTTCAAATTTATATTTAAATTAAGAGATTTAAACTGAAATTTAGATATTATCTAACTATAACAAACAAATTAAATTAAGAAGAAAACTACACAATAATATATTCAACGAAGTGCAATACGAAATTGGATATTGCTTTTTGTTTTTTTTTCTTCTAAATATATAGACTCTCATTTAATGTTTTTAAAATTGGATATAGAAAATCAAAATGATGAGTTCTATTAATTATGGTTTAATTGGTTGAATCAGGTGACAAAATAAAAAAAATATTCAAAAAATACAACAATAAAAACTACAGTCCAGTTATTTTACACAATAAACAAAATCAAGTAAGTCTATACTAATCAGTTCCTCTTAACAACATTATTATCAATCTTCTCAAAAAATGCTGTCCATCCAAAAAAATCATGTTTCATGATCAAGGCATGATTGATAATGTTTTTACTATGAACATCAAACCCACCTTCATGAATTTCAGATTTACATTACTCACATGTTACCCATGTTTTGAGCCTATAAATCTTTAAAAAATGCGGCTAAATACATAATTACATTTCATAAAAGGGCCTACAAAAAATATTATTGAGCACTACGCTTTTGTCAGTTTTTATTTATAATTTAAAGTAACATACATTTTATTCTTAAGAATTTGCTATAATCTCAATAATATAAATAATTAGTTATTTAAAAAAAAGTTGACTGTTTCAAATAATATGCACGAGTTAATATTTATTAATTGAGAACAATTGACGAAAAATTAAAAATTTTCACAATATAAAAAATATTTAAAAATCACACTCACACACATAATTTGTAGATCTTCAAACCATTTTTGTATTATTTAGATTGGAGTACCCCTTCAAATTATTTTTAAGATAACATGGTTTTTTAAATAAAATTTTTAAAAAATTACGAAAATGACTATCACTACAAGAAACATTGTATTTTTCCAAGTGATTTTCACGTCACTAATTCAAAAACCACTTCACTAACCAACTTTTGCGACGTGGGTACAACACGCCGGAAATGCAATGGTGGGAACATGTTCCCACGTGGAAAACACGTCACAAAGTTGTGACATAGTTCCCACGTCGCAAATAACAAAATTAGGAGAAAATCTTCCCACGTGAAAACCAAGTCACTAATTAGTGACGTGATATTCATGTGGGTTACCCAATTTTGTCTGCACGCCTGCCTGACACCAATTAAATTTGGTTCCCATGTGATTCCCACGTCACTAATTTGTGACTTGGTTTTCACGTGTGAACCCAATGACTTTGCACATGAATTTTGGCACTAATTAAATTGGTTCTCATGTGATTTTCACTTCACTAATTAGTGATTTGATATACATGCCACAACAAAAATATGTTTTATAATAGTGACATTGTTTGCATTTCCCTATAAAATTTAATAATAAAAAAATAAAAATAAATATTAACTAAAAACAGCTATAAAATTAAAATAAATATTAAATATTAACTATAAAATTTAAAAAATTAAAATAATATACATTAAAAAAAATATAAATATTTAGTTACATGAAATTCACGTCACAAATATAAAAATGTTTAATCTAATATGCATGTTAACATGACAAGCAACTGTCATATTCATCTTCGATAGAAGGTAAAAAAGTTATTATCCATATTCATGGCCAATGAATAGTATCACACCCACGTGAATAACATGATTAAGACTCCTTTCATTTAGTTGTTAGACCATAATGAAGAAGAAAAATAGTGAAATATGTCTGAAACTATTCTTTAAATATTCACTCTCTTAGTTATGTAGAGACCTTCTCCATTTTCTAAAAAACTGAATTATACTTAAGTATGATTTTTGTATATAAATATTTAATTAATGTCATAATTTCAAAAAGTATATGTATCTATATAATTGATTTAGTCTAAAACATATTAATAAATATTTTCACTTTTTATTTATAGAAATCGAGACGATATCAACCCTCTTAGTTTCTTTAAAAATATTTCATTTCTAACTATTCTAAAAATATATATTTTACTACAAATTATTTTTATTTTTTTCTTTCAACAACAACACAATAAACAAAAATAATATTTATAAAATATCAATAAAAAAATATCAACAACAACAGAAATATAAATATTCTAAAATTTTATAATATATCAACAAAATAATATATCAACAACAACACAACACAATAATATATCAACAAAAAATCTAAAATTTTCTTCTAAAATTATATTTCATATATCACCAAAATCTCAAAAATAAACTAATTGAAATGCTTAAATACCTCAATGTGCTAACTCTATCAAAGCTTCCAATTGAACTTCTTAAATCCTATATCTGAAAAAAAAATCAACCATTAATAATTAGATAAACATAAAATAAAGGGTAAAGTATTCACAAAAACAACATATAGACCAATCACCTTAAATTTTTTGTGAAATTTTTTTTGAAAATGGAATTGTGATGGAGACAATGGTAATGGAAGAAGGAAGAAAATTGGGGAGTCTTGTGACGTGGTGAACACGTGGGAAGCTAACCACGTGATTCCCACGTCGGAACCAACAATCATCTTGGGCATTTGTTTTGTTTGTTGCAACGTGGTAATCCTGTCACAAACCTGTCACATTCAATTCCAATATTCAATTTGTTTGTTGCGACGTGCTTTGCATGTGTAAAACTTGTGACATGTTACACACGTGGGAAATAAAAAGAATTTTTTTAATTTTCAGTTCGCACCACAACTGAATTTTTTAAAATTTCAAACTTGCCTCCCTCTTAAAATTCCAATTTTTTGTTGAAGATTTTAGGTCTGAATAATTTATTATTAGTGAGGTGGGAATCACTTGGCAATGTGTTTTTTTCCCACGTGAATAGCACGTCACTAAATCACTTGGCAAAATGGACTTTTCTCTTGTAGTGTATGTCGTAAAGAGAAGTCGTCATATGAAATGGCTGATCAAGTCTTTCAGACTTGAGTTGCCATTTCATATGGCACATGGGTTTAATTTTAGATGCCCTACCTTACACTGAGTCGCCATACTATATGGCGCATCAGTTGTAGGGTTATTTATTTATTTTTATTTTTTTTAATATTTAATTTTTGTTTAAAAAAACATATAATTAAAAATAATAATAAAGTTTTTTATTTTTAATATTTTATAAAAAAATATAAATAAAATAAATAATTAATATTTATAATATAAAAAAGCTTCAATATTGTACAACAAATGAAAAAAAGAAAATCAATGACCGACTCTATCAAAACGACCACCGGTACCACATTAGAAAGGATTTGCACGGCGTCGAGGTCTACCACGAGGTTGTTGAGGTGCATCTGGTCTTTGCGTGTTTATCTATGGAAGATATATTTGTTCAGATGGCCCCGGCGTATCAGATGAAATTTGAAGCATTTGACCCAAATAGTCGGGTTGGTCGCTGCCAACGACGCTTTCGTAATTAAGTTCAATGCCCATGTTTTCATAGTTTTGTCGGGGAGGTTGGGTGGGGTGTGGATGGTATGGTTATCCGAATTGGTACATCGAATTGGTTTGGAAATTATGTAATGGTTGTTGTGGGGTTTGATAGTCAAAAAGTGGATAGGCATTTTGTTGGTAGGAAGATTGATTGGCTGGTGTAGGGTCAAAAGAGTTATCTGGGCTATAGGTGGATGGGGTAGGATCAAAAGATGTATCAGGGCTATATGCAGAAGTGGTGTCGATTTCGGAAGGCTGGCGGTAGGGGTAAGGCTCTTGTTGTTGTGATTGGGTTGGTGGCATGTATGAGTTGCGATTTTGAAAGATTGATTGGGTGGGCATAGTTGGATGTTGGGTATAACATGGTGTTTGATGTTGGGCATTGGGTTGTTGTTGTGGGTTCGAGGAAGGCACATGTTGCCTTGAGTCAATCAAATATGTCGGCTTAGATACAA